CGTTACAGCATCCGACTAAAAATGGAATGTTGATCAACCCACTCGAAACTGATATTTATTAACTCTCTGTTTCCTAAAAACTTGCCCCGATCCATTGTGGTGAAATTTTAATTGTTAAAGTTTATATTCTGTTGTCAGTCTTATTTTGCAAAAACAAAAACGAAAATCCAGCCTTAGTGTTGACAATCGGCTACATTGAAAAATTATGACTTGGCTAATAGTTAAAAGCCCATCATTTTGAAATAAGAAATTATAAAGCGTTATTGAACAAAAGAACTCCAAGGATAGCCATACTCAAATAATTCCTTCAGGCTGGAGAAAATAAACAATGAAAAAATTGTTGATCACTTAGCAAGGTCATTACTTTTCAATGCAGCCAATTGCCTCTATATACAGACCCTCTAAAATAGATATTAAAAATTTGTCACCCTCAAAAGTAGATGGTGTCTCTATTTTTGTCATCTTAAAAATGAGTAAAATAAAACATTACAAAAAACAAATCAACCACTGCCTTTGAACCAGAATTTCACTACATTGCATAATAATAATATTTTAATTGAGGAGGCAATGAAACATTTTTTGCCATTTTTTTTTTATTAAAAAAATGTCTGACTACATTGTACGCATGGCCTGTTGGCTGCAAGTAAGCTTTCGATCGTGAAGTAGATCGGCTCAACTATGTTTAAAACAAAAATAAGGAAAACTCTCGAAAAGGTCATTTTTCTCACTTTTATGGGAGGCTTGCAGAACTGCTTAAGTGAAAAATACGTTAAAGAGAAAAAGAAGGAAACTCATTGCTGTCCAGGGTCTGTACAAAGTGATCACCGTGGGAAATGTTGGAAAAGATTTTGCTGTACCTTATACACGGAGACAGGGATATAATAGCTAATAGTGATGTTAAGATCTAACTAACAATGACGAAGCGTCCAAATAAAACAAGAGATTTTGTTATGCATATTTTATTCCCCTATCCTCAAAACGTTTGGTTGCCACTTGACGCAACCCAGTAACGGTGTGCACGACAAATTTCTAAAGTTACCACACAGTAGTGTGAATCAGTGGTATAAGTTTTGCTTCCTCTCAACTCCTTCAGTCCGCCATCAGCACTTCTGGATACTTGATGACGTCACCAAAAATGGAATCCACTTTAGACTGATCTCAATTGGCTCATCATAGCACCAAAACAGTAATTACAACTTTCAGTCAAAGGGATATTTTTTTGTCTGATGACTACTTATGCCAAGTAAAAAAAAACACTATGTTTTGATACATGTTTCAGCAAACAACGTGATGTGTCATACAGCATATCTCATATATGCAGGGTCCACTGAAAACGTCGATAAAGGACTAATAAAGAGCGGGGTGAATAGGGGTATGCAAATCCGCCGATCCGTTATGATTTATTAACCAAATCCGCCGTTAAATTTTCGCCCTGAATCCGAAATCCGGGCAAAAATATTTGTATCACTCTCAAAGTCCAAAATCCGGGCCCAAAAAATAGATGAAACCGCATTCCGCTGCAGTTGCAGGATCCGGAAATCCGTTAAAATCTTGCTTTGAATCCGAAATCCGGGCAAAATATTTTCAAAATCCGCCGATCCGTTCACCTATTCACCCCCCTCAATAAAGTGTAGACACACACTGTCGGAAAATTTTGGCCTCTATTTAATTACTTTCGTACTTATTTCAAGTTTATTCCTTACTAAGCTCTCCAATGCTCAGAGCACAAGTGATAGCAGGTTGTTGGGTAGAGCTGTAGTCGCATTGAGGACGACTTTGAACGGAGGATGACAGAAATGTAAGAGCGAGATGCGACAGAAGTGCCGGTTCAACCTTAAGTCATGAAATAAGAAGGAGTTAGAATTCAAACATCTTTACTCATAAAACCATAAGCTATTTAGAGGCGATAGTCAAAGCAAACCGACCTTAATAATACTGTATTGTTTAGATCTTAACATCAACTTAAATTTTGCTTGTAAGATGACCTTGGCGGAGAAAAGTTTCAATTATAACTTTTAGAAACACCTGTTCGAACTTATTTCAGAAAACACAATAACAAGTTCGTTATATTGAAATAATTACTTTACTTAAAAGGTGTTTTCAGTTTTCACTAAGATGCGTGAGTTTAAAATAGAGTGTATCTCTGAAGGCTTATCGTACATTCGTGTACTCATCGTATCACTTTTATTTGATCACTTCTGAAAGGTCGCGCGATTATCGGTAGGTACCTCATATATGATTATTATATGAAGTACCTACCCGATTATCGGCCGCTGTTCGGGAAATTAGCCTGCGCTACAAGCCTGGAAACCTCGTCCCCAGGGCTTTTCTTTCCCATTTTTCAAGCGAAAAGCCCTGATAACGAGGTTAAGGAACCTGGATCAGACCTTGAAGCAGGTACCAGCATCACGCTATTCATGACTGCGTGCATATATTAGTTTCAATTATCATGAATTATAAAGCGATAAGACAAGCGCGCACAATAAAACACTCGTGTAACGACAGTTCGAAAATAAAAACAGATTTTTGATTTCTCACCCGCGGGCCCAAACAACATCCACGTCGTTTTCGAGAACATCCATTGTTGTTGCCATCAAAAAACGGATTGCTTTTCGTCCAAGATATCAGGTTCCTTTCCTAGCTGCACAGGTAAGCGATACAAGCCTTAATTGAGGCCAGACCACTGTCATGTATTTCTTCGCACTAGTAATATCTAAGTTTTACCGCAATTTTCAAAAATCATACTTTTTGGTGAAATGCAGCGTTCAAATATCATAGTTACTACCTCTATAATGCTTTTCCTAGCTTATTTATCAATTTCATGGTTTGTAGTGATTTTATTTGGCGAATTCTCTGGCGTGTAGTCTCCGTTATTATGGTAATATAAGAGTTGTGTACCGAGCTTAATTAGCTTGAATGGGCTTAGGTTACGTAAGCCAATAAGTGTTATTAAGTGAACAGATTTTCTGACAATTTAATTACACAAAGGATTACTAGTCAGTGTTGAACTGCCCGCGTCAACAGTCAGTTCACTTTTCTCTTTGGGTTAATGCAACATGCTCTTCGAACGTTTGGATTGTTCAGGCAAAATCATTTGGTGTGTCTATTCAAATGAAACCGCTTTGAAATAACTTTCCTTTTCCACGGTTCTATTCTCCTCCCTATTTTTTCAGAAGATTAAAATGAGAAATTTTGTATTATTATGATGCAGGCCTCGGCGAGTAGCTTGCAGTGAAAGTGTTTTATGGTCGAGAACGAGATTATTGTTATACCTTTTCACCGCGAGATTCAGTAATAGACGTAAGTACTTCAGTTTTTAAAGGATTGTTTCAACAGCAACGGAGGCGTCGTAATCGGAGTCAGAGCGGTCGTAATCGAAGACGGAATCCAAGTCGGAGTTGAAATCGAAGTCATTCGTCGTCGGAGTCCTAAAAGCGCTTACCACCTAGTAAAGATGGAAAAACCAAGGCTTTGGCTGAGTCATAGGCTTGATCTACGGAATTGTAGTAGAAAAATTCAGAATGTTTCCATTTTCAGCATTTTCTTTCGACTCGGCTAATGAGTTTGTCGTTTACAAAGCATTGAGAGCCTGATTTTGGGAAAATAAGCCCCGGTTCGGACGCCGAACTTTTCATGAGCCGAACCTAATACATGAAAAGTTCGGCGTCTGAATCAATAGGGAACGCCTGTTTCAATTTGGAACGGCTCAGCCGTTCTTTTCGCCTCTGGAGCGACTTTGGAACGGCTTTGATTCAGACGCCGAACTTTTCATGTACCGAACCTAATGCATAAATTATTATAACGTATTTTGTAAGTAGTTTAACCGAAATGAGCATTTTTCTCCTTTTGAATTTAGTTCGGCTGGAATTAAGATCGGCGTCTGAACCAATTTTGCCGGTCTAAATAATTTGGGTCGGTCTTAATTCGAATTAGGTTCGGCTCATGAAAAGTTCGGCGTCTGAACCGGGCCTAAGGACGTTTACCATTTGTCAGAACTGACTAACCAGACTGATGCAGTTGTATAAGGAATTCCACTATTAATCACTACTTTTTTGACAGATCAGTTTATTACTACGTGGTATGCACGGAATTGATGGTTTTTTCGAAAATTTCGAGAAAATCTGGACCACTCTTTCATTTGAAAATTAGCGGCCTGGCAAGTAAGCAATTCTGACTTTTGGTAAACGCCCTCAGACTCCAAGCCATTGCCGGCTTGGCCAGTGCCTTACCCATGCGCACAGCCATATCTTGCAATGGGGTTCCGACCGTCCTCTCGCCAAAATTTCGAAATGGTCTCATTTCATTTTATGACCCAGCCTAGTCCCTAGGCGTTCTCTCTTGACCCGTTGCCCGCGCGGGGTCTGGGAAAGAGCGGGCGGGTATCTCTCGGTGACGTCACAGCTCACGGTAGAGTCCAGGACTGACCGAGCCGAGAACGCCTAGGCAATAGCAGATGAGTCAACCTCGTTCCCAGGGTTCTCTCTCTTGCTTCGAGAAAAAACCCTGGTTGCGGCTAGTCACGTGGAAATGTGTGTCAATAAAATGTGCAGCGGGGGTAGGTCCTCAAGTAAATTTTGTCGACTGGGGTAGGGAGAAAATTCTTGCTTCAAAATGGCGCTTGAGTTTCTGAGTTGCGTGCAAACTCGCTTTCGGCTAGTGACTGTAACATTATTTTGAAGGCAAAACAAATTATTTGTTTAGGGAGTTTGTACTTGAAAAAAGGTTTGCTCGCCATCCTGTCAACAGGATTCGAAAAATCTTGCTCGATTTGCACATGCAAAACCAGCTTTAAGTAAATTTGCATACTCCGCACGTGCAGTTCATGAAAGGAAAAGATAATACAATAGTCAGGTTTACATGAGTAATATCCGCTTTGGTTAATTTTTCGGCTGGTGCACGATATGCGAAAGCTAACCTCGTTCGCAGCAATACTATTTTTTTATGTTTCTTCTTAAGCTAAGATGGCCAAAAAACAGAAGTATCTACGATTTAGTTTATTAATGTGGCCTAATTTGATTCATTGTACAGTTTTGTCCCAGGCCCCCCGGTCTGAGGGGCATGTGATGAGGAAGGGTGTGCCTGGGGAATACTTCAAGGGGTGCCATAAACAAGCGCGTGTCCTCTTCCTGTTTCTTCTCATCGTCACTCTTGCAGTCGTTTTCAAAAAATTCTGGAGGCGAGTCGAACCAGTAAAGAAAGAAATACAGCAACACGTTGACTTGGGTTGCCTGTACACAGTGCAGCTCCCCCAGGAAGCCCAGGCATGGCAAGTTGTTTCATTCAAAATCAGCCCAACTACAACGGACAAATGCAGTCTTGCTGCGAGGAGCAAAATACGTGGAAATGCACACGGAAATTCAAATTTTCGAATACAAGCCTTTGGGTCACAAGAAATGGTTACAGGTAGCGTGACTCACATTGGCAACGATACTTACAACGCTACACTGCGGCTAACGTTTGCTGGAGAATATATAATCCTTGTTATTTTGACGTACATTAACAACGATAGTCTCGAATATCGTCACCACACTAAAGCTGTTCTGCAACACGTGGGGAACAGTCCGTTTGATCTCCCGGTATCCCCGGGTCCTTACCCCAGGGGGTATACCCGATACTGTAGTCAAGAAGAAAGTGGTACTGCCCCCGGAAGGTGGGTTGAATGTGGCAGTATCCCGGGGATTGAAAGATGCGGGCAGTGGCAGCTTGATCCTTTGTACGACTTTGATCAGATCCACGGTTTTCACTGGCTGCCATATTTTTGTCAACTGCATCATTACAGCAGCGATGAAATCAAGAAATGCTTCGCAAAACAAGGTTGGTCAGAGATTGTTTTTACGGGAGACTCGCACATGCGCTATAGAACTTATCACTGGGTCACGAGATTGCATGGCTCATGTCACGGCTGCATTAAAACACACGTAAAGATGGTGTTTGACAAAATCCCACGCATTGAGTGGGTGTTCGACGCGCGTGGAACGCGATGGCCTCTCACTTTCCCAAACATTTCGATGCCACACGAGATATATGTTCATCCGAGAACAAGGCGTTCTATGTTCTCCAAAGAATTACCTGGCTCTGTATTCAGTGGCAAACTATTTCTCATGAACTTTGGTCACTGGATTTTGCGGGAGAGCACCAAGAGAACGTTTATGGCTGAAAAACTGCGCGCTTTTGTTGAAGCAATTCAAGCAATGAACGACTCTGGCGAAACTCCCAAGAGATTTCTTTGGGTGAATACGGTTAGTCTTCCTTGGAGAGAGGATCGCGCCATGATAGAATGGTTGGAAAACCCATCTCCTACTCGTGTTGCGCAGTTGAACGGTCTAACAGACCAGGCAATGCGCCAGGGCAGTGTTCAGATTGTAGACGCTTTTCAGATATCCAACAGTCGCATAGGTGCTACGCATGATCAGACGCACTACGCCAAAAGAATGGAGAGAGGAGATTGTGGGGGAGTAGTGGAGAACGCCATAAGTAATGTAATAGCTAATGCTCTATGTAACTATGATAATTGGTAAAATAAAAAAATTAACATAGTAGTGGCACGTTTCCCAAGAACACATGTATTAATCAATTAATCAATTAATTAAATATTAATATTCCCCCTGAAGGTGAGGGGTGGGGGTGGGAGGGAGGAAGGTGGTACTCCCTGATAAGGGTGTAGTTTTCGCACCCTTTTGGTCTGAAAACGGATATAGACTTTGCCCATTTTGGCCAGGAATCAGGTATGGTTTTCGTGGGAACTACGGAAGTGTACGAACTTAACTGTCGTTTAAATTCCAGATGAATACAGAAAGAAAGAGTAACACGCGAATCCAAAAGGGTGTGGGAAATGAATTTTTTTTAGTCTGAAATAACGTTAGGATTTGAAAACCAGGTGGCACACCCCCACCAAGAATTTCCCGGAATACTCCCCCCGGGTGAATCCCATTGACTCAAACGGCTCTTCTGTTGAGATGAGACTCATCTCGAAGATTCTAAAGCAACAATGGCTAAACATAAATACCGTTTATCAACTACCATAATGTGTACTATGACCAAGTGCGAAAACAATGCCATTGTTTAAAATCGCTGTTCAGTTCAACTTACTTGGCACATACCGAATATTACTTGATACGATGGCTCTCGTTTTTCGTGTCCGAGATATTTCAATATCTATCAGCAGCTGGATTGGATACTGGCACTCGTCTGTGTTGTAAGAAATACAGAGATCTACAGAGTACAGGTTTGTGGTGTCTGTGGTGAGGAACGCCGCTGACAACCGTGTGTCCCGTGTAAGAAAATCCGTGGCTGGTTCGCAATAACAAAAAAAGCCATGTGGTGATTTAAAAGGAGTTGTTCTGTTTTTTATTATCGCCGTTCAAAACTTGTTGGAATCAATTTTTAAGGGATTCGCTTCGAATGAACAGCACTAATAGTTGCTTACGTTCTTTTTCTGTCACAAATACTTAAGCAAACTCCCAAGAATCCAATATGGCGGAAAGTACAAACTCTTCAGGCAAAGCTGCTGAAATCTCGCACATGCGCAGGTCCTGAGCATGAGATGAGTAAACCTTAACTGCATAACATTTTCAGTGG